ATACTCCTCAAGAGGTCAATACTGGTCGATTTAAATTTGATGGTTCTTTTGACAGACTTATTTCAATTTTAAGTAAAATATTGGTTGATGGGGAAAATTATTTTAATTTTATTCCTTTTGTATGATTCAGTTTATAAAAAAGAATGATATTTACTATTAACATGAATAGTGACTAATTTATTTCTTAATGGTAATATGATATATAAAATTGCTATATCAATTATTTCCCCATGTTTATATAAAGATATTTTTTCTTGAAAAGGTTTGCCCACCGTTTGATTTTTACAGGTAAATAGAATTACAAGTGACTTTTTTTCCTACACTCAGACTATCAGAGCATTTACCTATTATATGGCTAACAAGTGTTAAAAGTTACTGTAAAACATGCCCCCTAATAAATGTTGACACAACAGGAAAAAAGGTCATAAAAGTTATTTTTGAAAAGTTTAAAACAATAAATGTATTCCTGATTATTGAACGGCATGATATAAATTTTCTAAATGCAGAAAATAGAAAGTTTGAAGGATCTTTGCTCTTATACCTGCATGTATCTCTTTCTTTGATATTCTATTCTAATATTACCACAGTCAATCAGGTATCCATGTAGATTGTCAATTTATTTGAGAAAAGCGAACATTAAGTTTTGACAGAACTTTTTAAGAAAAGAGTTATATTTAAGACAATTTTTTTTTCTAATAAAATTGAGAATGGAAATAGGGAATGTATCAAAGAGACAACAACTTGACCAAAGAGCAGAAAACAGCCGAAGGCCACCAATGGGTCTTCAACACAGCGAGAAAATCCCGCACCCGGAGGCGGGCTTCAGCTGGCCCCTAAACAAAAATGTGTACTAGTTCAATGTTAGTGATTTGGCCAGTTTAAGGATAACCACTAATAGTGGTCCTATTTCCAGTGGACGTCACACTAAACTCCAAAACATATAAATGAACTAAAATTAAAAAAAAAAATACAAGACTAGCAAAGGATATATAGGCTCCTGACTTGGGACAGGCGCAAAAATGCGGCTACTGGTTCAATGAAAATGGACGTCACACTAAACTCCAAAACATATAAATGAACTAAAATTAAAAAACATACATGACTAACAAAGGCCAGGGCTCCTGACTTGGGACAGGCGCAAAAATGTTATATGTTACTGTAATGTCAACATTTATTAGGGGGCATATGTAAAACTATTACATATATATATAAAACAATTTAATTTTTTTCTTTATTATATTTGATGAAATTACTGTTAAGAAAACAAGCTGTCATATATTAGTATCATTTTTAGTGGTGCCGAGAAATGTGTCCGTTGTATGATTAATATTTGATAAATCTTCATAAAACCATGTTCATTAAGGTCAATTTCATAAACTGCACAAATACTTTATCTTATAATAAGGCATTATTTCATGGATTTTCCCTTATATATTCAAAAACCTTGTTGAATAATTGTGATTTTTTTGTCCTAGTACCAATATAGTAAATTATGTCCTGAAACTATAACTGTCCATTTACCCAGTAATTTTATATAGTAATGTTCTACCAAAATGTCAGTATTGACCAGTATTTGCCAGTATTTCCTGGTATTTACCGCCGGCATGGTCAATACAAGACCGCTTTTTGTCAACCTTGTTTATTTATCTATTTATTTATTGATGATTGCCATTGTACCTTATACAATCAACAATCAATCTATCTACGTCACAAAACGTGTTCAAGTTGATATTTCGAAGGTACAGGTAGTTATTGTCATATTCCTTCAAAGTTGCCTCTCTGTGACTTTGAGATGAAGAACAGCAATAAAAGCGCTGTTCCTTTGCTTTTTGTGTTTTTTGTTGTTGTACATGTACTTATTTTGTTTCATGGATGGATACCCCGTATTCTTTCTTTTCTATTAAAGCTAAGTTATGCTCCTATGCATGTTCAGTCTTGTCTATTCAAAAAAATTGGCGGAGGACATTTTAGCGAAAAAAATCGGACGTTTTAGTGCGGCCAAACTATAACCCATCGAAATTATCAATGCCCATTTTAGCGACAAAAATTATAAATAATAAATTTTAATAGAATTAACAAGGCACACTATAAAAATGTAATGTCCATTGCAATACAGCATTAAAAGTCTAAAAGGTTAACTCAAATGTTACAAGTCCTAGAGGACGTACGCAATGGGCTCCTTATATACGCCCTGTGCAATATTGTTCATAAAATTGAGTAGGAGCTGTTTCTTCTCTTTTTCATGATTAGATTAAGGTACACATTCATCTATACTTCTTATTTTGATATATGTTGTTGTTTGCAATTTGTTGATAGTATCCAGCAAAACGTATAACATTAGTCATCACATATTACACTTTTCTTTCCTCATTTTGTTTCAACAACATTTGTTTCCATGATGAACCAAAATTTAAATGCAAACAACTTAAACATTAAGCCAGCATAAATTACTGTTCATGGTTTTAGTATGGTTAGCCTTATTTACCCAGGTAAGTTTGCGCTAAAATTGGCTATCGAAAATACAGGTGAACGGATTAATCCTGCGCTAAAATGTACTAAAATGGGGTCGAACAGCGGATGTTCTTAAACCCTGCTGACTGCAATGGCGATTGCCAAAAAAACGGATCACCAGATGTAACAAAATGGATCTTAATATTCAATTTAATACCAAACAGAAAGATCTCGGTGCTTGTGCGGAAAAGATGGTATACCGCAAACATGAGGTGCAAAAATTTGTACACCATATCCGGATTTCGACAATTAATGTCTCTTCAGTGATGTTAGGAATCTAAACGGTATTTGGAAGGCGATATAATTTACCTCAATTTAAGTTTGACTCTTGAATTTTGAAGAGTCGAAATAGGATGAACGGATTATATAAACCCGAAGGCAAATATAATACAAGCCCAAGCGAAAAAATATAAACAAGTCTAAATTGAAAACAACGTTCAAACCTATGATTGCGTTGGATGAAAATCGCAATTTTTATACGTGTGCATGCAAAACAAATTTCTTTGAAGAGGGGTCTAAATACAGCACAAACAACATTTTCCAAAAAAACAAAAGAGTGAAAAGGTATATTTTAACAAAACGCATTTGACTAGCAGGTCGAACAACGGATGTTCTTAAACCCTGCTGACTGCAATGGCGATTGCCAAAAAAAAAAAAAACGGATCACCAGATGTAACAAAATGGATCTTAATATTTAATTTAATACCAAACAGAAAACAATAAACTTGCGGAAAAGATGGTATACCGCAAACAGGACTGAGGTGCAAAAATTTGTACACCATATCCGGATTTCGACAATTATACTGTCTCTTCAGTGATGTTAGGAATCGAAACGGTATTTGGAAGGCCATATAATTTACCTCAATTTAGGATTGTCTCTTGAATTTTGAAGAGTCGAAATAGGATGAACGGATTATATAAACCCGAAGGCAAATATAATACAAGCCCAAACGAAAAATTATAAACAAGTCAAAATTGAAATAGATTAGATATTTAGGTATATACATAAAAGTCGATTCACGAATATACATAAATCGATTTACGTATATACTTAAATCGAATTATATATATATATATATATATGTATCAGCAGAGACATATATACACGTGTATATATGTCTCCGATATCAGTAAATCGATTTATGCCCCACGGTATATACCTAAATATCTAAGCATATAATTACATAATTCGAGTCATGTAACCGCACATAACGTCACAGTACGCAAATTGCAAAAATAGCCGAGGAAATCTTTAAGTTACAAGTTTTCCTAGAAAAAAGATTCGTATTTTTATCATGAATTTGTCATATTATGCACGTCTTTCAAAATAGCTAAATATATTTTGATATGCAAAACACGCGGTCACATTATATATCAACAGATGAAGTAACTTCGAGAAAAAAGTAAAATTACGGAAACGTCGTATGCAACGACAAGAAAAAGTCATCTTTTAAAAATGAACAATATAATATGTCCGATGAATCTATTTCTTACAAAATGAATATATCATGTAGTATAAGCATAGAAAAATGTCAAATTGTTCTAAAAATGTGGAGAAATAAAACAAAACATCCGTTATTCGATTTTTTACCTGAATTTAAGCATGGATGCAATTTCGTTATAAATACTCCTATTTACAGAATCTGGCTTGGGTCGTTTGGAGGTTGGTTCAAACTCCAACCCATTTTTCCATGATTCAGTATCAATTCAAAATTAATTTTGTGGAACTATAGTAGTGATTTATGATACAGGTACAAAATAAACACTGAATGGAAACTTGTATCTTGATCTTAAATAAACGTGGGTGAAAAAAAAACTGTCAAAACAGGAGCAATTTGAGTACCATCACGTTAAATGTTTACGTATATATACATAAATGTATATACTTACATGTAAATATTTATGTATTTACATGATTCGATTTATGTCTATACATATATAAGCATTTTTGAACATGATCCATAGCCATTGACCAGTGGCGGATCCAGAAATTTTCATAAGGTGGACCCACTGACTGCCTAAGAGGGGGTCCGCTCCATTCATGCTTCAGTGATTCCCTTATTAATCAACCAAATATTTCCCACAAAAGTGGGGGGGGGGGGGGGGGGGGGGGGGGGGGGGGGGGGGGGGGGACCCTCTAAATCCGCCTCTGAAATTGAATGGAATGAAAAAAAAACACACAATAAAAATATATATTTAGACTGAAATAGGGAGGGAGGTTCATTCCCCTAGCGCCTACATGTCTTATATAGGCAACTCCATATGTGTGTTGATTAATAAAACATAAATTTATATCGTATCATCTGTGACTGTAACTTGATTATATATGCTTGATATGGAAAATAAAAGTGTGATTTAATAGTTTAAGGATTAGGCCAGTTAACAACCGGAAATTTTGAATTTCGTTTCCGACATCGGGTTTTGATAAAAATAAGTCTTTAAAACGCTTACGAAAAGCAATTATTACATTTAAGTTTAAAGAACGTTTTGACAGCGAGGAAAATAATTGATGACGATTTTCCTCATATTTTTGTAGGGAAAAATATAAATAATGGACATAGATTCACTTGACAGCTCTTCTGCGCGAAGTTCTCCGAAGCTTTCTAGCACAAAGTATGAAGGTTCACCATTTAGATTATATGTCACTGTTGCATTTGTTTGTCTGGGGCCATTTGCGTTTGGCTATACTATTGGTTACAGTTCCCCTGCTCTTCCCCAGATGCAGACATCAAGAATTTTAACTAAAGAGTATGCAGCTTGGTTTGGTTCATTACTACCACTAGCTGCAATGTTTGGAGGCCCACTTGGTGGATGGATGATTGAAAAATATGGACGAAAATCAACGTTATTGTTTACATCTGCACCTTATATCATTGGATGGTGGTTGATAGCTAGAGGTGGCAATGTCACCATGCTGTTGCTCGGCAGACTCTTAACAGGATTAGCTAGTGGACTGATAACTGTCTGTGCACCTGTATACATAGCAGAGGTTTCAACAAAGTCGCTCCGAGGTCTCCTTGGGGCTTGCAATCAGTTATCAATAACTGTTGGGATTCTCATGGTTTATGCCCTTGGACTACACTTTAAATGGGATACCCTGGCACTTTTTGGAAGTATTCCAGCAGGGCTGACGGCAATTGCTATGCTCTTTGTTCCTGAGACACCAAGGTATTTGTTGATGAAGCAAAGACGAATTCAAGCTTTGCAATCTCTTGTCAAACTCAGAGGACCACATACAGATGTTGAAGATGAATGCCGAGATATTGAAGAAGGAATTGATACTCAAGACACATTCACATATTCAGAGTTTAAAAAGCCAGAACTATCAAGGCCTCTTTATATTTCACTTGCTATAATGTTCTTTCAACAGTTTAGTGGAATTAATGCCATCATGTTCTATACGGTAGCAATCTTCAAAAGTGCAGGTATTCAGAACTCAGAATTCTCAACAGTTATAATAGGAGCTGTACAAGTGGTTTCTACTGTGGTTGCATGCTTTTTAATGGACAAAGCTGGAAGAAGGAGATTACTGATTATTGCTGGATCAATTATGACTGTTACTTGCTTTACTTTTGGTGCTTATTATTTTGCTATCAAAGCTGGGAGATCTCCTGAAACCTTAAGCTGGCTTGCTGTTGGAAGTCTTGTCATATACATTGTTGGATTTTCATTGGGATGGGGACCAATTCCTTTATTAGCAATGTCAGAACTGTTCCCTGCAAGAGCTAGAGGTGCTGCCAGTGGAATTGCGATATTTGTGAATTGGCTTTGTGCATTTATTGTTACTAAAGAATTTTCACTTATGCAAGACTGGTTTGGAGAAGCAGTGACATTTTGGTTTTTTGGTGCATTCTGTTTGGGGGGTGTAATGTTTGTTATCAAATACCTTCCAGAAACAAAAGGCAAATCATTAGAAGATATTGAACTGTACTTCCTGGGACGAAGTATTACATATTCTAGTGTGTAACAAATAAACTACTATTGAAACTACAACAAATAAAGGATGTATACAAAGTGAAATTGGGTACTTCAGTATATGGTTAATTACACAATGCTATATCATTGCTTTGATCATGTTGATATAATTTACATCTTAGTCATATACATTTAGCTAAAACTTTGGTCTCATTCTTCATGTCAAATGCACAAGAAGACAATTGTACACTGGTTATAACTATAACAGATAATACATGTAACATGTACATTGATGTACATTGTATGTTGTATTAATTTTTTTTGGTGAAAAATACACAATTGTACACAGTTTTTTTTTTAATTTTAAGGAACGTTTTACATGTACATGAGATTACAGTACATATGTATCTAAAATTTTAATAGCTATGAATCATCATACAGTTATTAAAAATGGACAAGGTAATAATTATTTACAGAAAAATAGAATTTCAACATGTGTATGTAGATTTCCAACTACAATAAATAGAGAGAAATTTATAAGCAACTTGTAGAAAAATCTAATTTGAAGTTATTTGTATCTCTAGTTATAAGTCAAATGTGTTTGGTCATGTTGGTACATGTATTGTGTATATATATGTACCATGTGTACAGACAAATGGTAACAAAAAATAATTTCAGAAATTATCTTTTTTCAGAAACAGCCTTTACCATAAAGGAACAAAGTTAGTTATTGGATAACTTTTTTAGTTCCCCTTCGATCTTGTGACAGTAAAAGGTTTTGGGGGTCAAAAAAAATTGTTGTGTCTTTTAAATTTGGGGATATAAAAATCTGTGATTTCAGAAAAAAATGGCTGTGCTCTCCATTGTTGGTAGACTGTTCTAAGCATGATAAGTTGAAAGCAAGATTTAGGGGATTTAACCAATTTTTGTCTCGCATCTACAAAGTACTGGGACGAGACTTAGGCATGCTGTTTATAGCGTCAACAATTCGTTAAAGTTTATGATTTGGTCAGTTTAAGTTAAAAAAAAATTCTGGTAAGTCAATGATATTTGTTATGCAGTTGTATTAGCATTTGCACGTCTCATTTCAATGGAGATTACACAATGTTTATGGCCCAGCCCCCTCAATTATGGTTTTGGAAATTACGTGGCGTCCGTCTGTCTTTGCGTCCATCCGTCAGGTCTTGTTAGCGCTCTCACGTGTACAATTCTTGCCAGATTTTTACGAAACTTATATCATAGGGTTATATCAGCAATGTCTTGGACGAATTTGAAAATCAATGCCGATCAATTATTTTTAAAAGAGTTGTGCCCCTTGGAAATATTAATTATATGGGAAATTGCCTTATGAGCGCTCTAATGTATACAATTCTTGCCAGATTTTTATGAAATTTATATTATAGGTTTATACATGTATCATCAATGTACTTGAAGAGTTCAAAAATCCGTGCCCATCAATTATTTATACGACTGCAAAAAAATTTGCGGTCATATATTGGTATGACGTTGGCGTCGTCGTCCAAAGACACATTGGTTTTTGCACTGTTACTTTAGTTTAAGTGAATGGATCTCTATGAAATTTTACCATAAGGTTCAATACCACAAAAGGAAGGTTGGGATTGATTTTGGGGGTTATGGTACAGTACTACCTGTGACATTATCTTATTAATGGTGGCCATAAAAAATATGGTCACCATGATGGCCCTAAATGTCCATCATTATACCCCCTGCTGCTTAATTAATACACAAAGTATTAATCAAAAACTAGTCAAGGATAAAGAGAAATCATGACTGCATTGAAGTGTTAAAATTACATAACTTACAGGTATAGTGTCTCAGGAAAAATATATCACTTTTTGTGTTTGTCTAATTTAATAACTGTGATGATGACAAGAAAATTCTAAAATTAAAATAAAATAATAAAACTAGTTGAACATATAGCTTCCTAACTTTTTTTTTGTAAAAATTTTCTCATGACTGTTTGCAAATGTTTGTTTCGATGTTATAACTTTTAAATAATTTTATCAATTTAAGTTATTTTTTACATGTATTTTTTGGCAAGTGAATAATAAATGAATATCATCTTCTAATATAATGCAAACTTTCACAACACCTGCCTTTTCCATTGAAAAGGTGTTTCTCAAATTAATTTTCTAAAATCAAAATTGTTTATACTTTCTGCATTTAACATTGTTTAACAAATGTTTAAGATTATCTTTAGGACTTATTCTAAATAAAATTTAGGCAATTCAGTATTACTCTATTGAATAAATACATGTATATTCAAAATATTCATTACAGAAAAAATTGATAATTATTTTATTGTCATATAAACATATTACAATTTAATCAAGTTTCTGACAACAACAAAAAACAAAACAAACATTATAATGCAAAGAAATAACAATTCTATAAGAAATCAAAACACATGGAAAAAAGTTATTAGGTTTCTGCCCTCAGTTCTAATGACTTTCTTTTATAAAGGAGCCAATATTTTAAACATGTTCCATGTTATAGAGGTTTAGCATTTCTTTTACTTTTTGTTATTGGTTAAGATTTTATTCATAAGATTCAAGATTTTATTCATAAACTGGTCAGAGACATTATTATGAGAAGGTAAACAATTTTCAAATAGATTATCTCTAAGTTGTTATGTTAATTTTACAAACAATTCTATCCTTTATAGGAATTTTTATTCACTATTTTCTATTTCTAAATTATGACCACTAATTCTTTACTTAGTGAAGCATTTGAGTTTACTGTTTTCATCATAAGTTTTTATTTTATTTTCAAAAATATTCTTATTTTTTTTCTTAAAATTCATTTTTAATCAAGGGCTTTAAAGAATCTAATTCATTCAAGTCCCTGCAATTATTAACTTTATCTAAAAGGCCTGAGTTGAGTGAAATATTCTTTGCAAATGTATACCAAGATAATATAATACACAGAACAAAAAGTGATTTAATTAATAGACTATAAAAATGTCACAATCTATATAGAAGTGTACTTTATTTTTTCTGGAGACAATTTTTGCCTGTTAACTGACAAAATTAGCCAAACTGAAGATATATTTGATAAGTTTACAATTGTTTCAAAAAGCAAGACAATTTTTTCTTTAAATAATTTCTTTGTAAGTCTCTTTAGTGATTCTTCATGCAAAACTCCTTTTGAGATTTGAAAAATATCAAAAGATAAACAAAAATAGTTTATTCCTATACCATATAATGATATTTGTAGTTTTCCTGAATAATAATCATGATAATAGATTGTACAACTTTGTTAACAAAATTTATTGTAAAAGGATTGATATTCATGATATTGATAATTTAAATTTGTGAATAAACTGGCTTGTTAAATTACTTGCTTCATGGTTCCTTTGAACATATCATTTTGCATGATTATAAGTTATAATTAATAATAATTCATTTAATAATGCAAACGAACAATAGAATACCATGTACATCATGTACAATAACTTTTTTTTACTGAAAGAATAATTATTTAAAGGATTCTCTCTTTTGTTTTCAAATGCTTGTCAATAACTTATCTTTGATTTTTTGTGATTTCTACTCAAGATTCTTTCCAAGAAGAAATTAAAAGAATAAGAAGCAAAAAAAAAAATTAAAAAAAATAATAAATTAAAAAATTAAAAACATTAGAAAAAAAGGAAAATATGTAAATTTAAAGACAGAAAAATCAACAAATGATATGAATTAACAAAGACTAAAACAAACATTCTATTCTACATTTTCAAGAAAAGGTGAATTGTCAATCTGAAAAGAAACCTGAGTTACCTGTACAGGTAAATTTTAATGAAACGTACAAGCTGAAAACTTCAACCCTGATTGATTTCAACAGGTAACATAATTAGATAAAACATCAACCTATGTTTTATGACCCCAATAAATGGCCAACATCTCAAGATTGAATACCCCAATAAATGGCCACCATTCGATGGTGACCATACAAGAGGGTGGACATAACTAAGAGGAAGTCACAGGTTGTACTGTACCAACAGTAAAGGAATAAGGGGCCAAAAATAAGCATTTTTGTAACTTCCAGACATAACTTGTGTGTAGTGTATGAATCTCTCTGACATTGTACCACAAGGTTCCATATCACAAAGGGAATGCTGGGATTGATTTTGGGGGTAATTGCCTCAAAATTTTAGGAATTAGGGGCCAAAGAAGGGGCAAAAAAACAAGCATTTTTCTAGTTTCATGACAATAACTTGTGTGTAAGTGTATGGATCTTTCTGAAATTGTACTACATGTACAAGGTTCCATATCATAAAGGGAAAGCTGGAATTGAGTTTGGGGGTAATTGCCCAAAACGTTTAGGAATAAGGGGCCAAAAATAAGCATTTTTATACGCCCGTCAAATTTTTGACGGGACGTATTATGTTATACAAATGTCCGGCGTCCGTCCGTCTGTCTGTCCGTCTGTCTGTCCGTCTGTCTGTCTGTCTGTCTGTCTGTCTGTCCGTCTGTCTGTCCGGCGTAAACATGTCGCACCGTAACTTGAGAATGACTTATCCAAATTTCATGAAACTTAACATAGTTGTTTCTTATGATGGTCAAACGATCTGTATACTTTTTGGTGAAAATAAGATTAAAACTTTTTGAGTTATGGGACTTAGTAACTAAAACAGGTGTGTGTTTTTTTTCACATGTCGCGCCGTATCTCAAAAACAGTTTATGATTATTGCTTAAAACTTTACACACTTCTTAGTTATATTAACCTTAAGATCTGTATACTTTTTGGTTTTGATTCAAAATTTTATTTTTGAGTTATTGAGTATTTTGTAAAAAAAGGGGGAGGGGTTTTTCACATGTCGCGCCATATCTCAAAAATGATTTATGATTATTGCTTAAAATTTTACACACTTCTTAGTTATATTAATCTAAAGATCTGTATACTTTTTGGTTTTGATTCAAAATTTTATTTTTGAGATATTGATTTTTTTTTTTAAAAGGGGTGTTTTCACATGTCGCGCCGTATCTCAAAAACGATTTATGATGATTGCTTAAAATTTTACACACTTCTTAGTTATATTAATCTAAAGATCTGTATACTTTTTGGTTTTGATTCAAAATTTTATTTTATAGATATTGAGTTTTTTGTTAAAAAAAAAAGGGGGTTTTCGCATGTCACGCCGTATGTCAGAAACTATTTATGCTTATTGCATAAAAATTCACACACAAGACGACGGGCGTATCATGCGCTCATGGGGCAGCTGTTTATTCTAGTTTCCAGACAATAACTTGTGTTCAAGTGTATGGATCTCTCTGAAATTGTACTGCAAGGTATCATACCATAAAGGGAAGGCTGGGATTGATTTTGGGGGTAATTGCCTCAAAATTTTAGGAATTAGGGGCAAAAAAGGGGCAAAAAACAAGCATTTTTCTAGTTTCAGGACAATAATTTGTGTGTAAGTGTATGGATCTTTATGAAATTGTACTACAAGGTTCCATATCACAAAGGGAAAGCTGGGTTTGAGTTTGGGGGTAATTGCCCTAAATGTTTAGGAATTGGGGGCCAAAAAGAGGCCAAAAAACAAGCATTTATCTAGTTTCCAGACAATAACTTGTTTTCAAGTGTATGGATCTCTTTGAAATTGTACTGCAAGGTACCATACCACAAAGGGAAGGCTGGGATTGAGTTTGGGGGTGATGAATCATAATGGGGTTCCAAGAATTGGGGGGGGGGGGGGGGGGGGGATTTTTTTTTCCTTTTTTTTTCTTTAAAATTTTCCATTTTAAATTGGTTATTTCTGATTTATATATAAAAGCAAATAATTATGATATGGTTTGAATAGGTAAATTAAAATTTTTTAAGTTCTTAGACCACATTCATTTTGTGTCAGAAACATATGCTGTGTCAAATATTTAATCACAATCCAAATTCAGAGCTGTATCAAGCTTGAATGTTGTGTCCATACTTGCCCCAACTGTTCAGGGTTCCACCTCTGCGGTCGTATCAAGCTGCACCCAGCGGAGCATTTTATTTTAAAATGCCCCTTGAAAGTATTGATTATATGGAAAATTGCAATGTTATCACTCTCATGTGTTCAATTCTTGCCAGAATTTTATGAAACTTATATCATACATTTTGTAGGTTTATATCAGCAATGTCTTTGACACTTTCGAAAATATGTTCTGATCAAATATTTTAACGAGTTATGCCCCTTGGAAATATAAATTATAATGGAAATCACATGAATCAAATTACATTTGCTCTGAAGCCTTCATTTCTCTTAAGATATTAATTAAAAGTTTTAAAGAACAATAAAAAAGTGCTTTTTATATGACCGCAAAAAAAATTTTGTGGTCGTATATTGGTATGACGTTGGCGTCGTCGTCGTCGTCGTCGTCGTCTGGCGTCGTCCGGCGTCGTCCGAAGACACATTGGTTTTCGCACTCTAACTTTAGTTTAAGTGAATGGATCTCTATGCAATTTTACCACAAGGTTCAATACCACAAAAGGAAGGTTGGGATTGATTTTGGGGGTTATGGTACCAACAGTAAAGGAATTAGGGGCCAAAAATAAGCATTTTGTAACTTCCAGACATAACTAGTGTGTTAGTGTATGGATCTCTCTGACATTGTACCACAAGGTTCCATATCACAAAAGGAATGCTGGGATTGATTTTGGGGGTAATTGTTTCAATATTTTAGGAATTGGGGGCCAAAAAGGGGCAAAAAACTAGCATTTTTCTAGTTTCATGACAATAACTTGTGTGTAAGTGTATGGATCTTTCTGAAATTGTACTACAAGGTTCCATATCACAAAGGGAAAGCTGGAATTGAGTTTGGGGGTAATTGCCGAAACGTTTAGGAAATGGGGGCTTAAAAGGGGCCAAAAATAAGCATTTTTCTAGTTTCCAGACAATTACTTGTGTTCAAGTGTATGGATCTCTCTGAAA